CCTCTCAGATGTTTGTAGAAAAAGCAAATGAATGTTATACTTTGTTAAAATTATTGTTAAACCATTTTACTCATTAACAAGCAAGAAGTGACTCACGACAGGCTGAAGTTTCTCATTTGCCACCGATAGGCAATATAGAATAGTGTTTAAGACCACATACGGGAACCAGAGATTAGCTGGATTCAAAAAGTGGCTCTGTAATTTTCTACTTATGTGAACTTTGCAAATTGTTTAACATTTCCGTGTCTCAGTTTCTCATCTGAAGAATAGATAATAGTAACTCCTACAGCACAGGGTGTTGTTCAGGACTAAGAGAATAAACTTTTATAAAGTACTCAGAACAGTGCCTGGTACAAATAAGTCCTTTACATGTTTGGTTAATAAGCTGTTGGGTTGGCCAGAAAGTCCATTTAGTTTTTTCCATAAAATAAAAGACTTTTTTTCCACATTTTCATCAATAACTTTATTGATTTGGATATTTTGAGTATGTCAGCTGTCCTCTGTGTGGTGTAACACTGACTGTTCTCAATTAATGTCTCGATTTGATCACTATCAACTTCAACTGGTCTCCCCAAACACAGAACAGTCCAGTGAGATATCTCCAACACGAAACTTCACACACCACTTCTGACATGTTCCATCAGTCACAGCACCTTCTCCATACAATGCACAAATACTTTTTTTATGTTTCAGTTAATTTTTTTCCTTTATTGAAATAATAAAGCATAATATGCCAAAATGTGTATTTTCTTCCATCTTCAATATTAAAAGGGCTACATAAAACTTCAGCAATTTTGATGTTCTTTTTAAAATGCACGCTGATATGACAGCTATCACAATATCATCTAACAAAATTGTTTTGAATGAAATTGAAGACAACTAACTAAGTGCTACTAGAGCCCTCTTATGGAAAAAACCAAACAAACTTCTTGGCCAACCCAATACCTTCCAGGGCAATAATTCTGTGATAGTAACAGGTGATGTTTCTGAGCAGTATGGAAGGTTTAAATCACTAATACTCAATCAGAGGTTCACTTCCCTGTGGCAGGCACAGAATCTCTAACTTTAGATTGAAGAATTATATTTAATATGTGCATGTTTAATATCATATTTCAATATGTGGAAAACTTCATCTAGTTTTCTAAAAATACAGACTGTAGAAAACATGAAAGTACTCCCAGAAAGCTATTTGGTAGATACTGATAAATTGACTCTGAATTTTATAGGGAAAGAAAAAAATCCCTCGATTAGCCAACACAATACTGAAAAACAAAGTGGAAGACTCACATTTCCCAACTTCAACATTTACTATAAAGCTACAGCAATCAAGACAGCATGATATTGGTGAAAAATAGACATATAAATTAATGGAACATAAAGAGCGCAGAAATAACCCACAGAAATGTAGTCAATGATCTATGAAAAAGGAGTGAAATCAATTCAATGAAGAAAGGACAGCCTTTTCAATATATGGCACCAGAACAATTGAAGGAGCACACACAAGAAAAGGAAAAAAATGAACCTAGGTACAGACCTTACATTTTTCACAAAAATTAATTCAAAATATATTACAAACCTAAATGTACAGTTTAAAAATATAAAGTATTTCTAGAAGGAAATATAGGGGGAAAATAAGCTATGTTACCATGGACTTGGTGATGGGTTTTTAGATACACCAAAAGCCCAATCTGGGAAAGAAAAAATAAGTTGTACTTTATTAGAATTAAAAATGCTGCTCTGCAGAAGACATTATCAGGAGACTAAAAAGACAAACCACAGAACTGGAGAAAAGATTTACAAAACACATATCTGATAAAGGACTTCTATTCAAAATATGGAAAGAACTCTTAAAACTGAACATAACAGTGGGAGAGACACTTTATATGATATAGATTGCAAATAAGCATAAAAAGATCTTCGCCATTATTTGTCACTATGTAATTGTAAATTAAAACAATAAAGATATTATGCATACCATTTAGAATGGCTAAAATTCCCAAAACTTATACCAATTATTAGCAAGGATGTAGAACAACAGAAACTCTTAATCAGTGATAAAGGGAATGTAAAATGGTGCAGACAATTTATTTATTTACTTATTTTTGTCATTTTATTTTTTATTATTGTTTGCATTCAACACTATTTTGTATTAGTTTCTGGTATACAGCACAGCAGATACAAATACAGGTTACAAAGTGTTCCCACCAATAAATTAAATTCCCACTTGTCATACCAGGTGACCTAAAGAGTACAGTATGGAAAGGGAAAAAATCCTGGCAGGTGTCCACAGTTAACATCCTCAATGATGAGCATGAGAAAAGTCCCTATTGAGGGGCATTCTACAAAAACACCTGATCAATACTCCTTAGAACCGTCAAGGTCATCAAAACAAGGCAGGCCTGAGAAACTGTTGCAGACGTGAGGAACCTGAGGAGACAGACGACTAGCAGGATGTGATGCTGGGTGGGGTCCTGGCACACAAAACGGACATGAGGTTAAAACTAAGGAAATCTAAATAAAGTGTGGACTTCAGCAAAATTATTGCAAGATATTAATAATAGAGGACACTGATTGTGGGGAAGATGGAAACTTCCTATTTTAACTTTGCAATTTCTCTGTAAATTTAAAACTGTTCTAAAATACTTGGTGAAAGAAACAAAATGTTCACCTTTTCATCCAATGGGGAAACAGAAGGAAAAATGGAAGAGTACTTTCGAATGATGTCTAAAATTAACATGGACTGTAAAATGAATGTGAATATGCAAGGAAAATTACACTGAATTTCCCAAAGCATATAACATACTATTAAAATAGGATGTTAGGGATTAGGAATAGAGTCCCATATACTGAGGATGTGACATAGACATGGGCGTATGATAAAAGTACCATTTCAAGTCTATGTAAAAATAATGAAGCAAATCAATAAATGATGTCGGGACTTTTGAATACTCATATGGAAAAAATGTTACATCCTGTGCAGATCTGTCTACCAAATCTACTTCCTCTTTCATAGTCTAGATTTTTAACTGGGAAGTGGCTGCAAAGCCAGGGGATTTTTTTCCAATCCCTTGTGTATTGGGGTGTGGCCATGTGACTAGCTATTGGTAATGTTTTGCGAGCAGATGGAATGTATTCCATTTGGGGCTCAAGTTTCTTACAAAGTAGGTGTGCTTCTCCAACACTTTTTTTTTCCTTTCCAAAAGAAACACCCTAGGTGCTGGCAGAGAAACAAGATGAAAGCAGTCTGGGCTCTTGAATGACTGCATGGAGCAGAATTAACCACTGGGAGGAACACCTACCATGAGCCATTGTAAAATTGAGCCATGTTACACTTTGTTAACCATAGCCTAGTGTAACTTAAATTTAGGACCATTTTCCCCATTGCTTATATAAAAAGTTTCTTGATTCATGGAAGAGATGATCATAGAAATAAAGTCAAAGAGGTAATTTACAAAATAAGTATAGTGAATATGCATATGGAAAAGTGCTAACCTCAAAAGGAATCAGGAAAGAGCAAAGTGAAACAGCAGTGATGTAGCATTTGAATTTCATCTATCTATTTCACAAAATCTTAAAAGAACCTGGTTATTACACTACTCATGAAGAGTTGGGGTTATAACAATCATGCTAATGGCAGTAATGTAAATTGGTAGATTAGAAAGCAAAGTTGTGTGTATAGACATAAACATATGGGGCAAAGTAGGGAGGGAGAACAAGGGAGAGTTTATACTGTTAGAATTTTTACTGTGGAAATGTATTATTGTAATTTTATATAATAAAAAAGCAAAACATTTTGAAATCAGAGAAGGAAAGATCTGGTAAGCCAGATCTGGCTAAGCCAGATTACAAGGAAACTTGTAACATATAATAAAACCAAACAGATGGTAATGATGTTTATAAATGCTAAGGGAGAATTTTTGAAGCCAAGCAGGTATAATAGAGAAAACATAAAAAAATCCTACAAATAATTTTTTTTTAATTTAGAAAACTTAAGAGTCTGTATGTGTATGCGATTGTAGATGGTGGAGAAAGGGTGTCCAAAAGGCTTAATTTTGATAAGAATGAGAGGGTTGGGCAATAGATGATCCGGGTAAGGATATATGAATAGTTATTGCTTTTACTTAATAATGAAGATATAAAACGTTTAGTCATGATATAGAAGAGCAGTAAGATAACAATTAGCACTAGAATATATAGTAAGATTTTCACATCAATGAGGGAAAGCTTGACCCAGCCCCTTTCGAAAGGAAAAGGTAAAAAAAAACAAAAACCAAAAACCAAAAACCAAAAAACAACCCAGTAAAACTAATAGTACAGAGTAGAATTTAAGATAAATATAAAAGTGTAACATGATATAGCAGTTATTACACTAAATGTGAATGCACTTATTTCTCTAAAAAGGTAGGGTTAAAATCTTTATTTTTATTCAATAAAATTTACAACGGCTTAAATAAGTACCGATAAATTATAGAGTACAGTGCAAAATTCACATGACGTTTCCACATACAAAAGTGGAAAACAAATCCACCAAAGCAAAACATTAAACCTTCAAAATAATTTTGCCTTGTCGTCCACCTTTCAGGCCAGTCTCCCTGCAGCCCATTCCTCCAGCCAGGGAAACACTTTGGCGAAAAGGGTGTTTCGGTGGAAAACTCTTGAGAAGTACAGGTTTAAACTCTATAAGCTCCTAACGTACTACAGTGATTTTAAGAGGAGATAGGTGAGAGAGAATATTGTTGGTATCGCGCAAAGAGCTCAATTAATACAGTGACATTAATCCCGCTCGTGAGGACCGCAGCACCCCAAGGCGGAGACTTCCTCAATTCAGTCTCCAACCTTCTCTGAACCCTGGTGTTGGAGTAATCACGGTAACCTTAAGCGCACTCTCAGATCCGCGCATGCGCCTTAGGTGGAGCAGCCCCGCTCTCTACCAAGTCGGAAGTCCTGTTTGTTGATTAATTACGACAGTCGTAAACTAAGATTTCTTGACGGCTTCCTACTTTACGACGGCAGCAGCTATGGCGGCTGCCAGTGGTCGTTTTGAAAGTGCGAGAAGTATCGAGGAGCGTAAGGAGCAGACCCGGATCTCCAGGGCCGAAGTGTTGCGCCAGGTACCTCCCTTTTTGCGCTAGTGGAAGCACGTAGAATTGTGGGAATGGAGGTTTTCTGGGAGCTGGGCCTCTGGCTTTTCTCCCTAACCCTTCTGTTCTCTCCCCACCTTAGTATCACCTCCTCTGGGTTAGAAGTGGGTCTCTGGGGTGCGTGGGAACTCCTGGGTATCTCCCGTCTCCTAGGTGCTCCGGCAGGCTCCAGGTGCTCGTTTTCTTTTCAGGAAGCCCTGTTTTTGTCCTCTTTTTCTTGTTCATATATCCCGTCCCTAATATTGCTGTCCCATAGGCTGCCTACTTTCGAGGGACTTGGCCACTAAAAACGAGTCTCCCCAGAGTATTTCACAGCCCCAGCTCTGTCTCGCTGTGTGTGAAAATGAAGACTTTTATTTTCAATAATATATATGAGACGCATTGTAGTATATTTTGTTTGACCATTTAATTCTCCTGTGGCACTATTGGTATCAGTTCCTGGCTCATTATACATCCTTACTGATGCAAACAAGGGTTGACACAAGAGACCAAGAAAATTTTACTCCTCGGAAAAAGGTTGAGAACCGTTGTAGTTCTCATTAAATAGACAGATGCAGAGAGGTACCTTACAAAGAATGAAGGAAGTTGTATTGAATTATCTGAAAAGATGGAAGAAATGTGGTAATGAAGAGGGAAATGAAAGGGAGAGTGTCATAGAGTATGTGAGGGTTTTTGTTTTTATTTGTTTGAAGATGGAAGATTTTAAACAGGTTTAAATGCAGATGAGAAGGAGCCAGTAGAGTAGACAGGAAGGAGAAGGCATAAAGATACAGCCAGATTTTAAAGGGAAAGAGTGGGTGATTAATCTTTGACAGGTGAAAGGTTAGTATTGTTCTTTGATGTGAGCACATGTGACATATATTTAAAATAAAATATTTTCATTCTTGTCTCTTTATTACTTCAGGCAGTTTTGGGACAGAGTAAGGTATGTAAGCTGTGGTAAATATTACAATAGGGATATGCATAGAGTTTGAGAAGCCCAAATCTGACTTTGGAGTTCAGGGAGAGAATGAAGAGGCAGGAACAACCTCCTAGGAAGAACTTACTTTATTTGACTTACTTTATTGTTGAAGCATGAATAAAAACTAGCGATATGATCATCTATATTTAGAAAGATAATTCTTCCTGAAGCATTTTTGGGGTGTGGATAGAGGGTTATGGGCATTGCAGATTGAAGGTATGGAGGTCAGTCACTTATCAATTACAGAAGTCTCAGGTATAGCACTGGGATGGTGAAGGGGCAAGAGATTAAAGTCAGACTTTAAGTTGGGAGCTTAAGGAAAGGGGAAAGCCTACCTACAATAGGCCCCAGGATTCCGTCCTTGATTGGTGGATCAATTCACTAGAGATTGGTAATGTGATGGTAATGTGGAAGGAGAGGGTTTTTCTTTTCCTTTTCTTTTCTTCTCCTGAAATCTTTTTTTTAAAATTTTTTTATTGATTATGCTGTTACAGTTGTTCTATTCCCCCCTTCATTCCCCTCCACCCTACCCCCTCCCCCCACCATTACCCCCCCTTTAGTTTATGACCATGTGTCTCAAGTCCTTTAGGTTCTATATTTCCCATGCTATTCTTGCCCCCCCCATCTATTTTCTATCTACTGTCTATGCTACTTATTTTCTGTACCTTCTCCCCCCATCTCCTCCCTCCCACTCCCCTGTTGCTAACCCTCCTTGAGATCTTCATTTCTATGTTTCCACTCCTGATCTAGCTGTCCTTTTAGTTTGCTTTTGTTTTAGGTGTGGTTGTTAATAACTGTGAGTTTGTTGTCCTTTCACTGTTCATGTTTCTTTAACTTCTTTTTCTTCGATAAGTCCCTTTAACATTTCATATAATAAGGGCTTGGTGATGATGAACTCCTTGAATTTGATCTTATCTGAGAAGTGCTTTATCTGTCCTTCCATTCTAAATGAAAGTTTTGCTGGATAGAGCAATCTTGGTTGTAGGTCTTTGGATTTCATGACTTGGAATACCTCTTTCCAGCCCCTTCTTGCCTGTAAGGTCTCTTTTGAGAAATCTGCTGACAGTCTGATGGGGACTCCTTTGTAGGTGACTGTCCCCTTATCTCTTGCTGCTTCTAGGAATCTCTCCTTCATTTTAATTGTGGCTAATGTAATTATGATGTGCCTTGGTGTGTTCCTTCTTGGGTCCAACTTCTTTGGGACTCTCTGAGCTTCCTGGATTTCCTGGAAGTCTATTTCCTTTGCCTGATTGGGGAAATTCTCCTTTATTATTTGTTCAAATAAGTTTTCCACTGGTGGCTGTGCCTTTCCCCCTTCTGGTACCCCTATAATTCGGATGTTGGAGCGTTTAAAGATGTCCTGGAGGTTCCTAAGACTCTCCTCATTTCTTTGAATTCTTGCTTCCTGACTCTTTTCTGTTTGGCCATTATTTGCTTTCTTCTGGTCCACTCCATTGATTTGAGTCCCAGTTTCCTTTTCATTGCTATTGGTGTCCTGTGCAATTCCATTCATTTCAATTAGTTTCGCCTTCATATATTTGTCTAATTTGTCGGTATAATCAACCAGTTCTGTGAGGATCCTGATCACCAGTGTTTTAAACTGTGCGTCTGAGAGTTTTGCTATTTCTTCATCGCTTAGATCTATGGGCTCTGGGGCTTTGAGAACTTGCGACATTTTTGGTTTGTTCTGGCCCTTTAAGTGTGAGAAGCGGTGTCTTGGACTCCCAGGTCGCTGGGTTGTGCCACTGTATGTTGGGGCGTGGTCAGAGCGGGGAAATGGCGGCGCCCTCCACCGCCACTTGCCATGGGGACCGCAGGGGCCCCGGTCCAACCGCCCACTCCCTCGCCCGTCCGCTCGCGCACAAATCGGCGACCACAGTCAACACACAGCACCGCTTCGCAGTCGCTCAACACACAGCACTCCTTCGCAGTCGCTCACCTGGTGGCTCGCTCGGTCGCTCACTAGGTCCAGCCCTGCGTCTGGATTCGCGTGTCTGGATTCCGCGCCTGAGCCCGTCTGACCGAGTCCTCCTGTGCAACCCCTCACCAGCCGCTGGTTTCGCCCCTTACCGGTCAGGCTGAAGAATTTGTTGTTAACGGACTTCTGAAAAGTTCAATTTTCCGTGTTCTGGCTGTGTTTTCTGTTGCTAATATTTAGTTGTCTTTAAACTTGGTTGTGTGAGAAGGCACGGCACATCCACCTATGCCTCCATCTTGGCGGAAGTCCTCCTGAAATCTTCCCAAGTGCTCTGGTAGAAGTGAATTCCTGTCAAGGGAAAATTGGTTTATGAGAACATACATGAAAGTGAGAGAATTTGTTTTACTTTTTTCTGAAAAGCAATTGGATCATCGTCAATTTTTTCCTTCAACACTTTAGGCCAAAGCCAATTTTGAAAAGGAAGAAAGGCATAAAGAACTTAAACGACTTCGGGGTGAGGATACTTGGATGCTACCTGATGTGAATGAGCGGATTGAACAATTCTCACAGGTGAGTACTTACAGGTGTACTTGATTTAAGCATGTCCGACTTTTATTTTGTACTTAAGTTAATATTGGAGGAGCTACTTTATAGACTTTTAAAAAGTTACAGAATGAATATTACATAGTGGGCATTACAGAATAGTTTTATCTCTGGCAAAAATAATATATTTTGATATTTTTGGGCATTATGACATTGGACAGATTTCATTAGTTGAATTGACTGATAGAAAGTTTAGCTAAAAATTTCTGAACTGTTTGTACAAGCTTATGCATTTTAAACTTAATGTCATTTTTTTGTCTTAATTCTTGTTTTCTTTTTCATAATTTGAATTTATGCTATCTTGTATTTTAAGTGGCCTAATAATCTATAAGTTCTTTTGGGGCCATAGAAGGATATGTACACATACATATACATATATATATATATGTTTGTGTATATATGTGTTTATTTGATTATATATATCTGTCAAATGAATCTACAAATAAATTAAAACTTCCCTTGTATTTTCTGATGAAGATATCTCAGCTCTATGATTTTTTTTAAATTTTATTTATTTATTTTTAGAGGGGAAGGGAAGGAGAGAGGGAGAGAAACATCAGTGTATGGTTGCCTTTTGTGCATCCCTTGCTGGGAACTGGCCTGCAACCCAGGCATGTACCCTGACTGGGAATAGAACTGTGATTGTCTGGTTCACAGGCCCGCGCTCAATCCACTCAGCTATACCAGCCAGGGCTTATGATTAACTTTTTTATTTATTATTATACCATTTTTAAATGTATTTTATTGATTATGCCATTACAGTTGTCCCATTCCCCCTCATTCCCCTCTACCCTGCACACCCCTCCCCCACACATTCTCCCCCTTTACTTCATGTCTATGTGTCATAAGTTCTTTTGCTTCTACATTTCCCACACTATTCTTGCCCTCCCCTTGTCTATTTTCTCCCTGCTGTCTGTGCTACTTATTCTCTGTACCTTCTCCCCACCTTTCCTCCTCCCACTCCCCTGTTGCTAACCCTCCATGTGATCTCTATTTCTGTGGTTCTGTTCCTGTTCTAGTTGTTTGCTTAGTTTGTTTTGTTTTTGTTTTAGGTGTGGTTGTTAATAGTTGTGAGTTTGCTGTCATTTTACTGTACATGCTTTTTAATCTTCTTTTTCTTAATTAAGTCCCTTTAACATTTCATATAATAAGGGCTTGGTGATGATGAACTCCTTTAATTTGATCTTATCTGGGAAGCACTTTATCTGCCCTTCCATTCTAAAAGAATGCTTTGCTGGATAGAGCTTTGCTTGGATGTAGGTCCTTGCCTTTCATGACTTGGAATACTTCTTTCCAGCCCCTTCTTGCCTGTAAGGTGTCTTTTGAGAAATCAGCTGACAGTCTGATGGAAACTCCTTTGTAGGTTACTGTTTCCTTATCTCTTGCTGCTTCAAATGATACAATTATGTATTTTCCTGGTCATTTTAATCTTGGGTAATGTTTCATTTATCAATTATGATGTGCCTTGGTATGTTCCTCCTTGGGTCCACCTTTGGGACTCTCTGAACTTCCTGGATTTCCTGGAAGTATATTTTCTTTGCCAGATTGGGGAAGTTCTCTTTTATAATGTGTTCAAATATTTTTTTCATTTGTTGCTCTTTCTCTTCTCCTTCTGGTACTCCTATAATTCGGATGTTGGAAGGTTTAAAGATGTTCCGAAGGTTCCTAAGCCTCTTCTCATTTTTTTTGAATTCTTGTTTCTTCATTCTTTTCTGTTTGGCTATTTCTTTCTTTCTTCTGGTCTACTCCATTGATTTGAGTCCCAGTTTTCTTCCCATCACTTTTGGTTTCCTGTGAATTTTCCTTCATTTCACTTAGTGTAGCCTTCATTTTTTCATCTAATTTGCGACCAAATTCAACCAGTTCTGTGAGCATCCTGATCACCAGTATTTTGAACTCTACATCTGATAGGTTGGCTATCTCTTGGTGGCTTAGAAGTATTGGCTCTGGGGCTTTGATATGTTCTTCTGTTTGAGCCATAATGTTTTGGTCTGTTTGTGCCTGTTATGTATGAGGGGCGGAGCCTTAGGTGTTCACCAGGTGGGTGGGTCAACCCAGTCACTTGGATTTCAGTCCCCTCTCAGTCCCCTCTGCCGCTTCCCACAAGCAAATTGGGCCCTTCTGATGCTGGTTTCCAGGTGGATGGGCTTGTGTATGTTCTAGGACCCTGTGGGTCTCTCCAACAAACTCTCCTGTGAGGCTGGGAGTTTCTCCTGGCACCTCAGCCCTCGCAAATGTTTTCAATCGGTGCTTTTAGGCTTTATTTCCTGGCGCTGGGGCCCTGGGTCGTGCAGTCTGTCTTGTTGCCCATTTTTTGCCTGGTTTATCTGCACACAAATGTGTGTCTGCAGTCATCTAACTGCCTGTGTGGCTCACTGGGTCTGCTCATTTCCACCCCGTGCCTGGGGTCTGTTAGCCTCGTGCGCCCTGTGTGCCTGGGTCTGCCAACCACTGCTCTTTCTTGCTGTGACCCCTCTCCACTGGCTGTCAACTCCGCCCCTCTGATGGGTCTGGTGAATGGTCTGTTATTGGACTTCCGTACAGTTCAATTTTTTGTCTGTTCTGGTTGCGTTTTTGTTTCTAAATCTTTGTTGTCCTTAAATTTGGTTGTGCAAGGAGGTACAGTGTTTCCACCTATTCCTCTGTCTTGGCTGGAAGTCAGCTCTATGATTTATTAGTAGTGCATATATTTTAGAAGTATGCCAAGGTTTCTTAGAAGATCTTATTTATGTAGTCATGTTTCTTGTTTCATTTCCTGAAAACTTGAAAGTTTTTTGGAATGTAGATTTTTTTCCTTGAAATACTTTTTTTAAAGTAAGTTAAGATTTAAGTTCTTTTTTCTTCAAAATGATTATTTATAGGAACACTCTGTGAAGAAAAAGAAGAAAAAAGACAAGCATTCAAAAAAAGCAAAGAAAGAGAAGAAAAAAAGGAGCAAGAAACAGAAGTATGAAAAAAATGATGAGTCAACTGATAGTTCATCAGTAAGTATGTACTAACACTAACCAAAGCATCCACTTGACAAAATTTAGTTTCAAGAATTATGTATGGGTACTTAATAGGTATGAGAACTTAAAAAATACTACTAGTTGGGATATGAAAATGTCTGGTAGACATCTAGAGAAAAGTAAGAAGATGGAGATGAGATTTGGGAGCTGTTGCTTATTGATGCCAATAGAATAAGTGAATTGTCAAGGGAAACTGAAAAGAAAGAACACCAACAATGAGGAGCCAAAAAAGACGTTAAGTAGAGGTGGTTGGAAAGTTAAGAGAAGCAGGGAAGGGTAGTGCTTTACAAATAAAGGAAAGAAGTTCCAGGATATTTGAAAGTCTGTTACCCCTATTTGCTTTTTCATAGAAAAAGACATAGAAATTAACATTTAAGTGTTTAAGGTATTATATGTTTATATATTTATTTTGGGGTCCAAAAGAAAGAGAATGCTGCATCTGCTCTGTCTCTGGCTGGTTCTGGGATGAGCAGACTTACAAAGGACAGGAAGGCAGGCCAACCCTTCAAACTTGTTTCCAGGAAGAAAGAAGTCCCTGCTTACAGAGCAATGAGCCAGAGGTGTTAGGGATGATCGGTCTCTGAGGTATGAAATTCAGAGGCTATGCTTTCAGGTGAGTCACCATATTCCAGAGTCTGGCCCTCTCGTAGTTTCAGAAAGTAAAGTTTTGGCAGCATACCCTGAGATGATAATTGGCTCATGAAAGCCTATCTTATGAGAAGTCAGTGTATAAATTCATAGTGAGAAGTATAGCTGGATTGTTGTGTGAAGTAGCCAGCATATTTTGTAATGGTTGGAATAGTTCAATTATATAGGAAAAAATGTTTTTGGAGTATAACTCAGGTCAAATTCAGTTCAAACATCGTAAAAGTGATGGGAATAAAAAACAGAAAACTACTTGAACAATAATTAAATAAATTTTTTAAAAAATCCTACAAGTGAAAAGAAGATAAAGACACTCTCTTCACATTTGTGGGTTTGGGTTGTGGACTCCATGGAGAAATTGATAAAAGTAAGCGATCCTTTCTTCAAAAAGAAATTAATGTACGAAGTTATTTATTTCAGAGGGGTTAACAAAACTCCCTTGAGTTTATGTGGATCACAGGTTAAGAACTCCCATCCCCTGGGAGTTCTTAGATCTGCCAGGCTGGCTAAACATTATGTCATTTGGTTAGGGACATTACCCTGTGTTAGAGACACATTACCATGTTCCTTGTTCATTCCTGGAAATGTGTGTAAGTTTTTTTGTTACAACATATGATATATACATTTATATATTTCTATTAAATTGTATAACATACACTTTTTTAGAGAGAATAGTTCGAATGCGTGCTCAGTACCCACACTGAAGTGAATTTAGGAAGGAAAGAGAAGCCTATACTGACAATGAAGGGAAGGAAAGATGGAAGGATAGTTAGAGGAGTGTGTGTATTTGGGTGGGTCTTTTTGAGAAAATATTTTTAGGGAAAGAAGGATAAATAATGAAGAGAATGACAGTTGTGGATTAGCAAGACCCCAGGGGAAAAGCTTTGATCAGGAGTAGCAGCATCTTCAGAGCTAGGAGGGAAGTTGTAGAGATGTGCACAAATCAGGTAAATGAGGTATGGAGGGAAGGGGAGCAGATTATCGGCTGTGTTTCTGCAGTTCCCTGTTTTTGTGGAGAAGATCGAAGCATCTGAGTAGATAATTTGGGAGTGCAAGTAGGGTGGAAGGATTGGGGAAATAATGTAAATTTGAAACAACGTTGCTTCAGCAGTAAAAGAGAAGCTAATAAATTGCTCAGTATCTGTGTAGGGTTGTAAAGTATATCTTGACTTTATCAAGGTCTCTCTTTTTTTAATGCCAGCTTTATTAAGGTATAATTTACATATAATAAAATGCTCCTATTTAAATTGTACTATTTGGTAACTACACCTGTTTAACCCTGTCTATTAAGATACTCCCTCATCCCCCACTCTGGGAATGGGCAATCATATATTTGCTGCTGACACAATAGACTAGTTTTCTGTGTTCTAGAATTTCATATTAATTATTCATATAATGCGATCATTTTTGTGTTGGGCTTCTTTGGCTCAGTATAATATTTTGCACTGATGTATGTAGTTGCATGTTATCAGTAGTTCATTCCTTTTTCTATATTTTAGTGTATGAATATACCAGCTTACCTGTTGAAAGTCATTTGGGTTGTTTTTTTAGCTTGGGGCTTTTATGAGTAATGTTAATGTGAATGTTTGTGTACAAATCTTTTGGGTACATGTTTTTATTTCTTTTGGGAAAATGTCATTGTTTTTAAAAGTGGCAGGACTATTTTATACTCTTACCAGCAGTGTGTGAGATGAGAGTTCTGGTTATTCTGAGTTCTTACCAACACTTGATATTGTCAATTTCTGTACTTTTGTCCATTCTACTGTGTGTAGTAAATTTCATGTGAAGTCATCCCTGAAGATCAGTCATGATTGTAAAGCATTATTTTGAGTCTTTATTTGTCATTCTGTGTTTTCTGTTGTGAAATCCAGTGTATCAATTACTTTCTTTTCTCATTATTCTTTCTTGGTTATTGCTTTTGGAATCCTAATCTTTTCACATCTCAAGGTTGTACAGGGGATAGGGTGGGGGAAAGAGAGGGAGGAAAACAACAATGTGTGATTGTTCTTGTGTGCCCCCTATTGGGGACCTGGCCTGCAACCCAGGCATGTGTCCTGACTGGGAATCCAACGTGCGACCCTTTGATTTGCAGCCCTGAGCTCAGTCCACTGACTTACACCAGCCAGAGCAGCAGCATTATTCTTAATGAGAATTCCGTGGATATTTTTATCCCTTTCCTCCATGTATAATTTTTTTGCTCTGAATGCTTTTAAAGTTTTTTTCTTCACCATCTTTTTTTTCTTCTTTTAAAGCAGATCAGTTATGATGTGTCTTTATACTGTTTTCTTTGTATTTCTCTGCTTGGGTTCATTGTGCTTTTTTGATTTATGAGTTTATAGTTTCCATTAAATTAAAAACTTAATGGCAATTGTTTTGTGAAATATTTTTTCTGTCTCTTTATTTTGCTAGTCTCTGTCCCACAGGCCACTGAGACTGTTCATTTTCTTTCTGCGTTTCAGTTTGGATAGATATGATAGTTATGTCTTTAGTTTCAAGTTCACTGTCCTTTTCTTTTGTAGCATCTAGTGTGCTGTTACCCCATTTAGTGATGTTTTCATTTTTGGTATTTTTCATCATTAGACATTTCAGTTGTGTCTTTTTTATATCTTCAAATTGTTTATTATTATGTTCATGTTTTTCTTTCCTTCAGCATATTTATAATAGCTGTGTCAAAGTCCTAGTTAGACATGCCATTATATCTCTTTTTTTGTTCTTTTTCAGTTAACTGCTTTTTCTTACTTTTAGATTACATTTTTCTGCCTTGAATGTCTAGTAAATACTAGTTGGATACTGAACCTTGTGAAAGTTGTATTGTAACTGCTGGATTTTGTTAACATCTCTGGGTGTTGAGTTTTCTTTGGTATAGAGTTAGTTACTTGTGGATTAGTTTAATCCTTTTGAAAGCTGGTGTTTAAGTTTCCTTAGTGTATATCTAAAGTAGCCTTAAGTCTAGAGCTGACTTAGCTTTACTAGCATGACATGCTAAGGCATGGCCCTTGTGGGTTTTCTGGTGATTATTTGGGTATTTAAAATTTCTCTATTCTGGTTGGTAGGAACTAGAATATCTTTTGGCACTTTGTGAGCTCTGGGAATTGTTCTGCTTATAACTCTCTAGTAATTGTTCCTTGAATGGTAGTTATTCTTTGCTGGGCTTTGTGGACTTTGTCCTAAGCATGTTCAGTGTGGTATTCAGTTAAAAACTGGGGTGGGGGGAGGTCTCCCATGCAGGTCCCTGGAACTCTTTCTCTGTATAAGCTCCCTTTTCATGGGTACTGTCTCAGCCTTCATAATGTTAAAATTCTGTTTCCTTGGCTCAGTGAGGTTGTCATACTTGGCTTGAGTTATGTCTTTTGTGCCATGATGTGGAAAGTGACACTAGGCAGAAGGCAGTAGAGATTTTAATTGTGATGTTCATTTAATTCATTTCCTTTTTCTCAGGATCATAGACCTGCACTAAGACTCAATGTCCAAAACAGTTACTTCATACATTTTCTATTTTTGTTCCTATTTCTATATTTTTAGTCTGATGGCATTTACTTTGTCAGGGACAGAAGCAGAAGTCCTCAAGTACCTTTGACTTATTTTTAACTTGAAGTACTTTCTGTCTTTGTTCCATATTCTAGGTTTCGACTGTTAGGCTCAGAGGTTAAGTACGATGGATGCATGGGAGAAGGAGAGCCTGGGAGCTGTGATAGGTCAGGGCGCATGTTGATGGTTTATGAGTTCTAAAGGTAAAATGGAGGATGGAAACTGAAGTCGGCAGGAGAATGAGGTCAGCATGGGGACAGGGCTTTACAGAGGAAATGATGCTTGCGTTGAGACTTGAAGGTTGAATAAGAATTAGCCTGGCATTTAAAGGGGTGTGTGGCATTTCATGCCAGAGGAAATGTAAGAGCAAAGGCCTGGGAGTATGAGATAACATGTGTATAAGTGTGTGTGAAGTATGTATCTAGATATTATTATAAGCAATTTAATAGCATTAGATTATAACAAGAGGGGAATGCGTGGAAATGAAACTGTAAGAGTTGATAGAACCTTGTAAACGAAGCGGTGGCCCCCCAAGTCCTTCCCTGGGGCCTCCATGTGATCGTGCCTGTCTTAGGTCAATGCTCCCTTGAGGAATCTTACCTGCCATTGGCTAACCGACCAAGCACTGGAGGCCAGTTATGGAAAAAGGAGCAGAAGCAGTGCTCCTGCCAGGGAGATAAGCTTTGTCTCCTTAGTAGCTTATGGTCTGAAGGTCGTTCACTCAGCCTTAGCTGTGGGGGGGTTACAGCTCCTGAGACCAGGCAGGGCGGTTCCCAACACACTTTATTATAGCTTTCACTTTCCAGCAAGGGAGACATTATGTCTCCAAATAAAATTGGGTTCTGTTGGTAGGAAAGAGGAGGAGCAACTGGCAGCCTTTGTGACAGGGAGCCACAGAAGAGGAGTACTGTGGTCAGAGTACTGTGCCCTTCTTTTATGTTAAATGTATTCAGGGTGGGGGTTGGAGAAGGAAGGGGATCAGGAAGGACTAGAGAACAGGAGACTAATTTGGTTCTTACGGTCATCTGGGTGAGATGTAAGAAGATTTGATCTAGGGTTGCTGCTTTTTAAGAATGGAGAGGAGATATGTATTAGTTGGCGCTTGGATACAGGTGACAAAAACCAAACTTAAATTGGCTTGTATGATTTATTTGAACTACAGAGTTGCATAGGACATCTAGGAATGCAGTTGGGCTTCAAGAATAGTGGGAATTAGAGTCATAAATGCTTTTATGAGTTTTCTTCCAATTGGATACCATGTAACCTGGGGAAGTAACTTATTTTGGAGAGCTCGTCTTATCTGTAAAACCAAATTAATATTTCATGTTGGGTTTTTTAAGGAGTCAGCATGATAATAATATGTGAAAATACTGATTATGATACTTAATGTGGAAGAGGTGATTAATATATTCGTTGAAAAGAAAACCCCAAACCTGGCATACTGGTTAGCTCATAGGGGATGCTGCTAAATACCACTTCATTGATGGAATAACCTGCTATTTAAACATAGTAAGTGTGTTTCCAGCCTAGATGTTAACTGAGATCTCTGCATTTTTAGATCTAGAGGAATCTAGTATTTGAAACTTGGAGGCAAGCTCGTTTAATTGGGCGTTGTTTCCTTTGTTCTGGTTAAGCAAAGATGTCATTACTGCTTGATGTTGGTAGGACCTATAGCTCTGTGGGGAAGTGAGCTCTTTATCCAGCAGTTCTGATCTTGTGTTTTGCTTTCCCTTGGTTTGATAATAAACTACTAAAAACATAGAAATAATTCTATTGGGGCTTTGTAAGTTTATTCCTAAAGAAAGAGTTTACATATACTTTCTTTACATTTGTCAGTGTAATTTTTTTAAAGGGGAAGGATAGTGTGTGAATTTTCTCTAGGAAGCTGATTTTCTGCTATTTCACAACAGCACAAAATTTTTATATGAAAGTGTGCAAATTTGAGAATTTACTACTTATATGGTAAAAATTCTTAGAGCTCTGAAGATGAGTGGGTTGAGGCTGTTCCATCCCAGACTCCTGGCAAGGAAAAAGCCTGGAAACTGAAAGGTGAAAAGTCAGACAAAGAAGATAACAACCAAGGTATTCAGGTAAGCCACCTGATTTTTAACAAAGAAGTGTGAGCTTATAAGAATAGATGAATATTAAATGAAAGATGATTGTAATTTCTTATGTAGAAAAACTAGATTTTGAAAACAGTATACATTATGAATCATTTTGGCAGGAATGCTATTTACTGAGACTTTAGACTCCCCTTCTACTTCCGTGAGAAAGTGAGTGCTTATCTCTATTACGGTTCCTCTGGAAGGGTTCCTCCCTCTGGTTCTTGATGGAGAAGTGGGACTTTCCCCATGGGTACTTGAAGCCTTTACTGTTACCTTTATCTGCCCTTTCTACAGTGTGTAAAGTTCAGTCACAGTTTTCTTTTTCTTCTCCTCAGGTCATAATGTTTGTAGCAAGCTTATAGTTTGATGGTTCCCAGATTTTGGTTCACAGTTCATATTGCCTGAGGAATAATGCTATTTATACAAAGGGAAGGAAAAAAGCTGAAAAGGAACTAATTTTAGAGTGGCTGTTGAGTGTCAGGCTCTAGTCTGGATGCCTTAAACCTCTTTTCTTGTTGCCCCTTAAAACAGTCCTGAAAAGCATGGATTTTATTTCATTTTATAGGGGAGAGAATAAGACTGAGACTAAGAAACTTGTTTCAAATTAGTCATGTAGGATTAAACCTAGAGATTTGAGTGCCTCTTATTACTAAGTACTTAGTGTTAAGTTTGATTTTAGATCAAAATAACTTTTTTTTTTAAACAGAGGGATGAATGGATGACTCTTGATTTTATGTCTGTTAAAACTGTGTCGTCATCATCACTCAGAGCTGAAAAGGAAACTGTAAAGAAAATAGAGCAAGAGAAGGCCCAAGCACTTGAACAGGTAAGATACTGAAAATAGTTTAACTTTCTAATTTGTCTTAATAAACTGATAAGACATGCAATTTTACTTGTAAGATATTATTTGTGGTATTCAACAAAAATTAGTAAAAACAACTATGAAATATAAGTTCTTTTAAAATAAGTTTCCTGTAGGAAGTCAGTTTAAAAAATACTTGATTTATTAATCAAGGGCATATATAGTTAATTGGGTTTGCTTTATGGCCTGGATTCTAAAGGCTTGAACTGTCCTGCGTCTGTGGTTTGGAAATCTTTAAGAATTTATTTGAAAGTATTCTTCGGTCGGTAGTGCCTGGAGTGCTTGGCAGCAGTAAGCACCAGCCCTTTCTGAAGGACCACACTGTCGACGTACACAGCATAAGTTCCCAGGAATAAGTTCTGTGGACTGCGTGCTCATCATCTAAAGTTGTAAAGTACATGAAAATTCCAGGGTGGTCCCTGAATAAGAGCCATCTGAAACAGTGAACAGCAGAATCAGACCTGTAAAACCTTTATCTGTTAGACTATTGAATAATTTTGTACAGTAACAGGTATAGAAAATATGAATAAAACATTACTTAGAAGGCAGATTTGAGAAAGAGCAAATAAGAACTTAAAGAATGAAAATTATTACGGTTGAAATTAGAAAGTCAGTAGATTGTTGAACAACAGATTGAATCCAGCCCGAGAGAATTAGTAATAAAGAAGAGTCTTTAAGAATTTACCTTGGGTGAAGCATAGAGGGACTAAAAAAGGAAAAATATGAAAGAGTTATCATAAGAGTCTTGTGATCGGTGTTGTTTTCTGTTTTTATTTCCTGCAGTTTAATTTTAATTCTGAAACTATAGATGTGGTTAATAGTATTGGCTTATAGTTAAGCAGCTCTCAATATGAAACATTGGAAGCTAGGGGTTTTGGAATATCTCAACAATCCTATAAAATGTCTTTGTCTCTGAGTTAGACCTGAAGGAGCTGAGACTCATTGTGCTAAAAGGAAAAGGAAAAGTGCAACAGAAGGGTAATCAGTGGGCAGTGGAGCGAGAGCGGGGAGCTGTCTGAAGTTGGTTTCACCTAGTGCCATACATGCCTGCTCCTGAAATAATGCTCTGCTGTGTGTGAGCAGTGACAGTCTGCCTTGTTAGTCCTCCTTGACTCGGGGTCTTTTGTTTTGCTGTATTCAAGCCTGTTCTCTGTATCAAACAATAGAACATAGTGATCTCTTAAATGAATATCTTTAATAGATTAAAATGATTATTTTTTCTTAGAAATACTTTCAATTAAATGGCTTTTGCTTCCAAAGAATGTGATAATTTTGTGCTTATCATAGCAACTTCCCAGCTTTGAATTTCAAGCTTTCTAAATAAATGTATCTTTTCTTACAAATTCTTCTATGAACTTTTGATTTAATTAAATCAGCATTTAATGATTTACTCATTTGCTATGTGGTTTTTGTCTTTTGCATCTGTATCTTTTTCATTCCTGTTGCTACTGCTCTAGTTTGAATGCCACTTCTTAGATGTATGTCTTCCCTCTCTGAGCCATATTCATGTCATCTCTACTGGAGTTGAATTAATCATGTGTAATGAACTGGGGACAGTCCCAGAACTCAGAACCATTTAAGGTTAAATGTTATGGTTCAAGCCCTAATTTACTCTTTTTTACCTGGACAATTACACTCACCTCTTTGTTTTCCAGCACCCTACAACTGACGTCAGGTTGTTTTTCAAAGTGCAGTTTGATCATGTTGTTCTGTATAGGTGTCTTCAGTGATTAAAGTTACAGAGAATGTAACTTTGTCTTTTCTGATGTCTCTTTTCTGGTAGAAGAATTTGCTCCACTAGTGGTATTTCATGCCATGCTCTTTTCTCATACTGTTCTTCAGGATATGGAGTAAATTACCTATTTTGAATATGGAGAGAATTAACTAGGCGTGCTTTGCTTAGTTCTGCCTTTCCTGCTTGTGGAACGTGCAGTCTGCAGAGACCGTGTGGGGAATGAGGTGAGGTGGGGTTGGTTCAGTGTATCTGTACCTGGGAACGTCTGCCTGGTTGTTTCGGTCAGTGAACAGGCCCATTTGACTTTAACTGAAAGAAAAGTTCTCTTCCTATTAAGCCTTCATCAGCAATAAAGGTAATTTGCCTTTTCCCTCCCATGTTTCTTACTGTATTTTTTAAAAAACGTTTTCAGTCCTGGATGGAAAAAAAGCGCAGCATTTATTGTTTTACTTTAAAGGCTCCTCCAGAAGCTGCCTGCAGTTGGAGTCCATACACATTACTTTCTTTTAGGTAATTCATACCTCAACCAAACCAAGTTAATTATTTTCCTTCATATTTCTCTGCACATTGCTGTCTCTGAATTCTTGTTCATCTGTTTTTTTTCTGAGTGAATTCCTTCTCTATGTCTGCATCCTCTTTAACCCTCCAGGCCTGACTTGATACATACTATAAAATTCTTCCTATTTCCTTTGACTGAAACAAATTTCTTCCTTTTTGTTTCGATAGCACTTTATTTTTTCCTTTCCTATGTAGTATTTGCAGTTTTCTGTAAAGTACTGTAATTTAATAGTTTTAATCCTATTATGAGATTATAATTCCCTCATGAGATTATAAACTTTTTGAGAAACCATTTTGTTTATATTTGTGTCTTCCTTAGCAGCTAGTATAGAACTCTGCATATGGTGGTGCTTTTAAAATATTTTGTACCACTTGAAATTGTAGAAGATTTATTATTCTTTACCCCTTGATTTTATGTTTTTGCTACCTGGATTTAGTTCTGAAGTTCATAATCTGTAATTGTTGATTTTTGCTTCAGTAAGAATTCCAGTCGTTATATACAGAAGGCAAACACTGAGACTAGTGACTGAAGCAAGCCAGTTTTCAGATGGCTGCACGTCAGCTTGAGTGTGTTGGTTCTTGCATGTCATCATATTCTTAACACATGATAAATACTTGGTTTGAGAGAAAAATGGCCCTAGCCTTAGAACCAAATGTTAATCCTTATAATGGGAGTGGGGACAAAGTGAAAATAATGGGAAGAAGTCTAAAATGATGGCCCTTAGCGAAAGCTTGGTATGAAGCATGTTGCTTTATGTCTCTTCTTGGTTTTGAAGATAATATCATTTTTTCATTTTCTGTGGTATTTTTCAAAATGTGGATCATGAACTTAATTTATTAAAATCAGTATTTAAAAATATAAGGTATTAGCATGTATTTCATGCAATAAAGATACATTTTGTTTCCTTAGTTGAGGAGACAGACACGTGCGTGCACACACAACTTCTCTTTGGGTGAAGGTCACAAAAAAGTTTGAAAACCAGTGCTCAATGTTATGTCTGGGTTCTCTGGGCCTCTTTATGCCCACATTGTGATGTATGTAAACTATAGATCTGTAGCACAAACCTATAGAATGAATCTGTAGCATTGAAGAGATTCATATCAACTTTTCAGTCTTTTCTTTACAAGCAAGAGATCACCCCAGCCTCGTGCTTGGCCTTGTGTGGTAAGACTGGCTTCATTCTCCTCTTTCAGCAGGAGCACTTTTAGCATTGATCTTACATAAATTCTGCTTGCGCCTAGAGTCCATTAGGCCTGTGGCTTCAGTTCTGCTTATTACTTCTTTGCATTTCTGTTCTGGGCTATAGAACTATTTATCTTTTTTCGAACCGAAGTATGTTTTGTATTTTGTGTATCTTTTCTGTTCTGAGCAGGGGGGTTGTGATGATTGGAACTTTAATGAGCCATTTTGACTAGAAGGCCTGAGAACATTGTAGAGATTGATTGATCTTGATATGTTTTATTTCTATTCCACCTTTTAATCACTGCATAGTCTTTCATTGTCTATGACATACTATAAATATTTATTCCTTTAGGATATCTGTAAACATCTACTTTGTGTGCTGTTTTTCATTATTACAAATAGTGTTAAATGAAGGTCCTTATATACAGGGTGGGCAAAAGTAGGTTTTACAGTTGTTAGTTTATGAAGCAAAAAGTTGATTCTTATTTATTTATTTATTTTATTTCCTACATGAACAATTGTAAACCTGCTTTTGCCCCAGTCTGTATTTTTTCCTCCTGCACATGTGCAAGTTTCTCCACTGTGTATATCTAGAAGTAAAATTGCTGCTGTGTGTATGGTATGCACCTACCTTTTACTAGTATTTTGAAAGAGATTATAGCAGTCTCTACTGCTCAGTGTATGTTCTTTTACTTTAGTAAAGTATTTGTATCGCCAAGCTTAAACATTTTTGTCATGCTAATTGATGGGTGAGAAATGGTATTTTTGTTTTTATATATATCTGTTTTCTAGGAGAGAGGGTTTTGTTTTCGGTCATTCAGATTTCTTGTACTATGAACCGTTTATGTTCTTTTGCTTACTTCTCTTCAGTGTTCTTTTACTTACTGATTTGTAGTATCTTCACATACTCGGTTGTTTTCGCTGGTGTAGTTGTAGGTAGCGTCTCAGTTTGTCATCTCAGTTTGTGTAGCCAGTTTGTCAGCTGTCCTCCTCAGTCTGTAATGACAGCCCTTTTCATCCTGCTGATGTCTGATGCATATCTCTGAGTGTCTAGATAAGACCACGGGAAGAAATTCCTTGATTTTAAATACCATGAGCTATTGTAGAGATGACAGAATCTTTTTTAGTACAAAAGAAGTCAAATCCTGTGGTTTTGCTTACCCCTCTAAGTTAAGCTTTAACTTAAATTTTGCCCTTTGAAGATGTACATTTTTTTTGTCATATTTCTTTTTGATAATGCAGTTGGTCATGTCATTGTAAACTGACATTTAACTCTTTCCATTCATCTAATTGCCATTATTAATTCTAATAATTGCTGTTATTCTCACATTTTCTGACCTCCTGAAGTTAAGTTAGGAACCCCAGTATGTTGTTCCATAGCACCCTTTACCTTCATAGTGCTTAATGTACTGATATTGCTTAATGGTCTCTCCCCTTTCTCTAGACCATGATTTCTTTGTTGACCAGGACTGTGCCTGGCTTTGTAACCCCAGTGCCCAGCATAGGCTTGGGACACAGGAGGCACTTGACTTGTGACTAGGCTACCATTCCTGATTTTTGCTACTATCTTCTGACTGGATCCCTGCTACTAATCATTAAAAAATTTTTTTTTATCGATTGATTTTTAGAGAGAAAGGAATAAGGTTGGGGAGGGAGGGGGCAAAGAAGGAAAGGGGGAGAAAGAGAGAGAGAAGGAACATAGGAAATTGAAAGAGAGAAACATTGATTTGTTGTTCCACTCAATTATGCTTTCATTGTTTGATTCTTGTGTGTGCTCTGAACTGGGATCAAACCAGCAACCTTAGCTATTGGGACAGTGCTGCAACTGACTGACCTACCTGGCCAGAACCTCTGCTTCTAACCTTGCTTTTCTTTACTCTCTCTCCTCTGAAACAAGTTTGCTCTTTCTGTAATACAAAGCCAGTCTCTTTTATGGCTCATTGTTCCCCAGCATAAAACCTTAACAGCAGTTTAAAATGGTTTATGTGGTCTAGTCCCCGGTTATTGTACAACCTAATCTCTTAACCACTGTTTGCTTATACTGCTAATTACTTTAAGTTCCCTAAAAGTGACGTTTTCACTTTTCTCTAGGGTTTTATGAGCATGCTGTTGTTCCTTTTTACCTGGAGCACCTCTGGGCCTTTTCCTCCCACAAAAGAAAATTTGGCTAATTTCTGCTCATTCTTAGGTCTAACTGCACATATTGCTTACTCTAGAAAGCCTTTAATCCTTCAGTGTGAGAGGAGTTTGAATTATGTGTGGCTTTAGCACTCTGTACTTTTATAAAGCATTTGTCATTTACTTGTTTGTTGTCTGCATTCTTATAAGCTAGTAAGGACAGAGTTAGGCGTGTATTGATTTTTACATCTTCTGTATCTAGCACTGTTCTGATTCATACTATAGGCATTTAATGGAAGCATTGGATGAATGTTATTTAAACATTATTTTCTGAAAGTTACAAAAGAGTGTCTTAAGAATGTTTTAACTGTTTGTGCCATGTTACAGGTGTTAACTATGTCTCAGATGGGTTATTTATTAATACATTTTATGGTGGGATTATTTTTAAATTAAAACTTCTGAAAATGTTTTGTCCTAGTCCAGGCTGCAGGAAAGAGAATTGAATCCATACTGGAAGGATGGCGGGACAGGTCTTCCACCAGCAGACTGTACTACGTCATCAGTTGCTAAAGGTATCTGTGTAATGTTGTTGTAGCTCCACAGGCATTTCTCACAACTTGGTGTTCTGAAGGCAGTGGACTGAGTTTGTGGGTAGATTGGCAAGATGCATTATAAATTTAAAAAATGCTTAATGATCCAAATCAGTCCTGGCTGGCATAGCTCAGTGGATTGAGTGCGGGCCTGCGAACTAAAGGATCACGGTTCTATTTCCAGTCAGTACACATGCCTGGGTTGCAGGCCAGTTGCCAGCAGGGGACACGAGAGGCAACCACACATTGATGTTTCTCTCCCTCTCTCTTTCCCTTTCCCTCTAAAGATAAATAAATAAAATCTAAAAAAAAAAAAAAATCCAAATCAGATTTTAGGATGTATTAAATCTAAATTCTATCACCGGTTATATTAATATTTCTGTTTGATGCTATAATTTTGATCAAGTTCATGATTACTTTTTGTTTATATTTTCAAAACAACTTAAAAAATTTTTTATTTTAATTGTTGTTCAAGTACAGTTTTCTGCCCTTTACCCCCATCCCAGCCCCCTAGTCCTCTCCACGTCCCTCCCTTGTTATTGTCCATGTGTCCTTAATACTAGTTCCTGCAAACCCTTACCCCCTTCCCCTGAAATCCCCTCCCTTTGCCCCTCTGGTCACTGTCAGTCTGTTCTCAATTTCAGTGTCTTTGGTTATATTTTGCTTGTTTCTTTGTTTTATTGATTAGATTCCTGTTAAAGGTGAGAGCATATCGTATTTGTCTGTCACCGCCTGACTGATACCACTCAGCATAATGCTCTTCAGTTCCATTCATGCCGTTGTGAAGGGTAGAAGCTCCCTCTTTCTTTCTGCTGCATAGAATTCCATTTTGTAAATATACCGTAGTGTTTTGATCCATTCATTTACTGATGGATACCCAGGTTGCTTCTAGCACTTGGCTATTGTAAATTGTGCTGCTATGGACGTTGGGGTGCATAGGTTCTTTTGGATTGGTGTTTCAGGGTTCTTAGGATATAATCCTAGCAGTGGAATTGCTGGGTCAAAAGGCAGATCCATTTTTAGTTTTCTGAGAAAATTCCCTATTGTTTTCCATAGTGGTTGTACCAGTCTGCAATACCACCAAGAGTCTACTAGGGTTCCCCTTTTTCCACAGCCTCTCCAATACTTGTTTGTTGATTTGTTTATGATGGCCATTCTGATTGGTGTGAAGTTGTATCTCATTGTGGTTTTAATTTGCATCTCTCTGATTGCGAGTGATACTGGGCATCTTTTCATATGTCTCTGGGCCCTCCGTGTGTCCTCTTTGGAGAAGTGTCTGTTCAGGTCTTTTGTGCATTTTTTAATTTTTTTTTTTTTTTTGTCTCCATGGAGTGGAGTTGTGTGAGTTCTTTATATATTTTTGAGATCAAACCCTTGTCGGAAGTATTGTTGGCAGCTATGTTTTCCCATATATTTGGCTCTCTTTTCATTTTAATGCTGTTTTCTTTAGCCATGCAGAACCTTTTTAATTTGATGATGTCCTATTTGTTTAGTCTTTCCTTTATGTCTCTTGCTTTAGGGGACATATCTGTGAAGATGTTGCTGTGTGGAGTGTCTAGGATTTTCCTGCCAATGTTTTTCTCTAGGACTTTTATGGTGTTACAACTTATTTTTAAGTCTTTTAAAGAGCTGTTCTTTCTTCCTCTTCATAACATGCTTTTACCATTTCCCTTTCCCACATTGTGTTTTCTTAGAAAAGAAAAAGGACAGAAAGCTTATGTCTGTCAGAGGTTCAGATCCCAAAGTTGAAATTAAGAAGTGAAATTAAGAAGTGATCTGCACTTTTTTACTGCATATGCAGTGTTGTCTTTCTGTTTAGACCAATGGTAGAGCTGAAATGGTTAGTTACTTAAAAGTATTACAAGTTTAGTATTGATGTATGTAAAGGTGATATGGTATTACAGTTTAGGACTCAGACTTTGGAGATAGGGTACTTGGGATTAGACCTTTGCATTTCCACTAACTAGCTTCATGATTTTGGGAAGTTTTCCTGATCTCTCTGAGTCCAGTTCACTCATCTGTTATAGGGACTAATGATAGTACCTACCATACAGTTATTGTGAGGATCAAATGAGAAAATCTATTAGTCCAGTATCTGGAATATGGTAAATATTTAATAATAATGATGTCATATTACTTTCTTTATGATTAAATAAATGTTCTGGGGAGATTTTATCAACTTTTCTTTTTTGGTAATGATAGAGGTGCTGTGTTTTTAAATAATTCATTAATCTTAGGTTGCCTTTATTTAAACAAAATTAAGTGGAAAAGAAAGTAAACTTCTTAGCATCCATATAAAATTATTTTAAGTTATATTTTAGTAATGGGAATATTTGTACATTTTAAAGTATACATGGCACATTTACATATCAGCTTATTTTCACAGCAAGCAGGTGAAGATAGTAAAGTAGACAGTACTGTCCTAACTTTATAGCTCAGGAAACCAAGGCTTAGAGCGGCTAGGTAACTATTTGTTTATAGTCATGTGAGTAGTACTAGAGCCTGGGTTTTCTGATTTCTAGTCCAGGGTTAGTTAATCTACATTCTTCATGAGAAGACTATGTTTGTTACCATGTAGTTACTAAATACTTGCTCACAAAACTCTTTTATGTTTCCATTATTTTTGTAGATTCTGTTCCCTCTATTTTTTGGATTGCCTTTTAGAATCTTGAGTTGGAAGAAATTTCAAAGGTGGTTTAAATCTGCTGTCTTACATTACACATAAACAGGGATTCAGAGAAGTCAGTGACTTGCTTAAGATCTTTTAAACTACTTAGTAGCAGGAGCAAGACTAAAAATCTAGGTTTCTGAATCTTTAAGTTTATTGCTATAGTTATATTACCCTGTCTTCTGAAACTAATGGGGCGTGCAGCACTGATTTCATTTTGTTGTATATGGTCTGTAACAATGTAACTTTTAGTTATGCTGGAAGCATACTTTTTTCAGTTTCTTAATTTTTGATTTATAAAAATAATTTTAAATACAGGTATAAGGTGTTGTGTACCAATGAATTTCTTATAACTATTTGATATATGTTTATCTTAGCACAGAGGGCTAAGATAAACATATGGGGCTATGTTTCATTCATGTTTTTGCTCCCTACTTTGTGCAACAAATTTTCATATTCATAGTAAATATCATTAAATATTTACCATATTCCAGATCATGGAATTCAATTCCAGAATTGAATTTCATGATTACTGATGCTGCAAATTAGTATATTTATTTGCTTTTTAAATATTAAATCTGGTGATTGCTCTCTTTTTAAAAAAATGTTTATTTTTTTAGAGAGAGGGGAAGGGAAGGAGGAAGAGTGGAAGGGAAATATCAATGTGTGGTTGCCTCTCACGTGTCTCCTACTGGGGACCTGGCCTGCAACCCAGGCATGTGCCCTGACTGGGAATCGAACCCGCCACCCTTTGCTTCACAGGCCCACGCTCAATCCACTGAGTTACACCAGTCAGGGCTGGTGATTTCTCTTTTTAAAAATACTGTATTTTTGCCATCTCTAATAAAATTAATAAGACTATTGAAATAGAATATAAACTGACTGAAGGTGACATTATTATATAAATACTTCTAAAATAGTGGATTTTACTCATGACTGAATTGACTGAGAATTTTTATTCTTGCTAGATTTTCATAATAATTGTCAACACAGTGATTTTAAAACAGTCTTACTTTTTCTCAGTTTTTTTCTCTGAACTGTTACATATTGGTGATCATTTAGGAAATTTTTACTGTGCCAATTTGCATTTTATCAGTTTACAAATAAGCGTTTAGAATAAAATATTTAATTACATAGTTGGGACATTGATATAGGTATTAATTATAAGAGGTGTCTTTAATCCCTGTAGAAATTGCAGATTTAGACTAACTTCCTTGATAATTTTGAGCTCATAGACTAGAAAAATAAGAAAAAAAAGAGCAAGAACAAAATAAAAAGTGAATCATTGAATTCACTAGAGATGTAGGTTTTGAAGTACAAAGTATTTAGACCTGTAAGGAGAGACCCATTATGTTAGAACAAATTTCTTAATAAAGATAAACTCAGATTTGAATGATGGACTAGAATTTGAGGGTTGAAAATCTGTTTTTTCAAGTAGCCATTTTATTGATGTTTAACACTCAGAAAAGAGTATACAACTCGTAAGTATAGTGACTGATCATTTTTACAAAGTGAAAACATCTGTGCTATTGGCACATATTTTGAGAAGCAGAACATTATTAGCATCCCCAAAGCTTCTTTGTGTTCTTCTGGTCCCTATACTCTTGCCAGAAGGGTTGCTACTGTTCTGGTATCTAGTACCAGAAATCAGTTTTTCTTAGAATCATACACCATGCCTTCCTCCGTTTCCTGCTTCTTTGTCCACATTTTCAGATTCACTTGTTCTCACTTACTGTACTCACTTATTCTCATTGCTGCATAGTAGTTTTTTTTAGGAATATAATTTATAATACACATCCATTTGACTAATAATCAACATTTGAGTTGTTTTCTAGGCTGGTGGGATTACCACAGATTTTTAATGAAGATTTTTATATATGTTTTTTGGGGTCTAAGTGTGTATATTTTTATTGGTTATAAAACTGGGATGATATAAAGTAGTCCTGTATTTGTACAAGGGAATCAGGTACAGAATTTTTACTTAAATATTTGATTAGATTTTTCTTTATGCATAGCAAAAGTGTGATGTATATATATAGAAGAAAACATAAGTGACTTAATAAAGTTTGTTGAAGGCATTCACATTTTCATAGTTGGTAATCGTGACTAACTTAGGATAATCTGAATTAATGTACATTTAAGCATTATCTATAATTTCCTTATTTCTTTTTGGGATATATGGAGGTAGTTTCTCTCCCTCGCCCCCATGTGTATACCTTTGTACCTTATTTATTTCTGGGAATGCCTTGCCTTCTCTTACCTTTGTTTGAAGAATCTCAATTCATTTTTTTAAGCCTGGTTAGTGAAATTTTTTCTTACCTCTCCTTTAGAAATAATCCTCTCTTTTCAGTAATTCTTTATATATTTTTTATAATAGCTGGCCAATATTATCGCTGTTGTTATTACTTATATCCTTTTATCCTCATTCTTTTAGCTTGAAGTTTTTTGAGGATAGTTTTATTTATTTTTTCTTTCTCATAGTCACAAACCTCTGTACTTTGCATGTGTAGGCACCCAAGTATATGTTAAATTTCAAGTATACTTATGCCTTTTATGTTCAAGAAGAATATTCAGTTTTATACTTCAGAAGTGATTTTATAAGCAATAAATATTAATACTGTTATACCACATGAAAAGAATAACTGACATTTAGTACTGAAATGTAGTTTCAGTAATAGAAGATGGTGGATTAAGCTGGCTAAGGAAGTCCTATCAAAGAATGAAGGAACAAGCTGAGAGGCAAAATAGAAATTTTGAAGACATTGTCGCTGAAAGATATGGGGTGAGTATTCATATTAAGGAGATCGTTTGTTGCTTTCCGACTTATATGGAAAATTGTGTCCTTTTGAGAAAAAAATTGAAATTAATGTGTTTAACTTTGTGTTTTGTACCATGAAACACTTTTACATTGATTTTTTAATTAAAAATTTAAAAAAGAATTTATTTATATACTTTTTTAGAGAGGGAGAACAAGAGGGAAACATCAGTGTGTGGTTCCTCTTATGCACCCCCCACTCAGGACCTGGCCTGCAACCCAGGCAATGTGCCCCTACTGGGAATTGAACTGACGACCCTTTGGTTTGCATGGTGGCGCTGAAGCCACTGAGCCACATCAGCCAGGGCTGATTTGGCATTAAATTTTAAATCTGTATACTGTTAAAACCTTTTTCTGCTTTTCCTTTATTATGTAAACTTATGTCACATTATCAATATAAAATTGAAGTTACGTGCCTGTTTGAGGTAAAAATAACATGTTTTCACTGTGAGGAAAGCCTCCATTGTATACCTCTGGAGATAACCACTGTTGACATTTCGATTTATATTTTAGTTTTTTCCCTCAGAGTTTTTGTTATGTTCCAGAGTTTTGGAATATAACTTTTTAATTTTAGAATATATATGTTTTTTAAAACAATAGAACCATGCAACAGTACATGATATTTTAAGACTAGTTCTTCTATTCACCATCTGTGAATAATCTGTTTCAGCAGTTACCTGATGGATGTCTCCTTTTTTTTTTTTAATTTCCAGGAGAAGTAGGTTTAGTAGTAAGAGTCTGGAAAAAGAGAGAAAAACTATTCTTTAAGGTAATCTTTGTGAACATTTTGATATACACATTTTTTTAGATAAAAATAGTTTTGTTAAATTAGGTTTATAATTTTATTAAATAGGCTTATAGAATAGATCCTGTTTCTTTCATACTTACTAGTATAGACATAGTTGGATATCTATCTATCTATCTATATATATATATACACACACACACTTTAATGACTTTTTAGTATTTCAATTATATTTACCGTTTATATTTACCATATTTATTATGTACCATTATTTAATAGTCAGTGGAGGGACATTTATATGTTTTTATTTTTTTCTCCTGTTAAATAGTACTGTGCTGACCATCTTTGTACAATGCATTTTGCATACTTATCGGGATATTTTCTTTCCTTTTATTTTAATACTAACTGAGGATATGCTTATTGATTTTAGAGAGGGAGAGGCAGGGAGGAAGAGAAAAGAGAGAACCATTGATGCAAGAGGGAAACATCAATGGGTTGCCTTTTGTACTCACCCCAGCAGGGGACTGAACCTGCAGCTTAGGCATGTACCCTCCCCTGAAATCGATTCTGTGACATTTTGCTTTATGGGACAACACTCCATGCAACTGAGCCATACCAGCCAGGGCTTATTTGGATATTTTCTTAAGATGAATTACTAAAAATGAAAGTGCTGTTTTAAAGGATATAGCAAAGTGAGATATAGATAAAGCCAAATTTCTCTACAGAAAGATTGATCAAATTATGTTTTCAGTAAAATGACTTTGGTAAACACATTTTTCTTTACTTTTATTTTTTATTATTTTATTAGTAAATTGTAAGATTTTTTCCTTTTTTTAAAGGATTTTATTTATTTATTTTTAGAGAGGGGGAGGGAGGGAGAAAGAGAGGGAGAGAAACATTAATCTGTGGTTGCCTCTCACTTGCCCTCTACTGGGGACCTGGTCTGCAACCCAGGCATGTGTCCTGACTAGGAATTGAACCAGCTACCATTTGGTTCCCAGTCTGGTGCTCTGTCTACTGAGCCACACCAGCCAGGGCTGGAATATTTTTTCATATATTTTCTGGCCATTTGTACTTTTTAAGTGAACTGATTATATTGATAGTATTTACCCATTTTTTCTTTGGGATATTGATTTATTTAAGGCCTTTTAGTAAATCTATATTTCTTTCTCTTAGTTTCATTAAAAAATAATATTTAACAAATATTCATTGATTGACTACTATGCGTAAAACTATACAGATAAATCAGATGTGGTCCTGGACTTCTAGGATTTGAAGTTCATGTTCTAATAAGGGAACCAGACATATATAAATGACTTTAACACCAATCCAACTTTAATAAGAGTAGTAATTTAAGAGAAGAACTCTATCAGGATGTACAGGGGGATGAGAGGGAGGAAGGATTATGTTTGTTATGGATAAGTTTATTTGTACCTTACAAAATATATATTTTTTTGCGACTTAATATTCTTGATATAATTCACTTATAGGCCTTCTCCATTCCCAAAATCATAAAAATGTACATCTATATTTACATCGAATATTTGTTTAGGTTTTTTTATGCATTTATTTTTTCTGTAATAAATATTTGTATATGGTATGAAGTTGACATCTAACTTACCACAAATCTTCAGATTGTTGTTTAAAATATATTAAATGAATTATTTTTCCTACTAATTTGAAATGACAGATTTATTATATATTAAACTGTCTTTTATAAAAAAGGTATTATTTTACTCAGATCTATTCTATTAATTTTTCTGTTATTGGAATTGGCATCATACTGTTATAATTATTATAATTTTTAGTAACTGATGCAAATAGCAAATAATTAGTGAATATCTACTATGTAATGGAGTCTTTTATTAGACATTAAAAAATTAGTTTTTCATTCTTGCATGTTTATATATTTATTTATTTTGCTAAACTTAGAATCACTTTGTCAAGTTCAAGCTTAATAGGAACATTTTCCAAAATTCATTATAACCTTTCAACTCTTTTAGGCATTATGATTTGAATTTAACTAAATGTATAGATAAATTAAGGATAATTAATACCTTATTATGTAGAGTCATGTTATCCTGGAATACTGGATATTTTTCTGTTTAAATTTTCATTTACACTATAGTAAATTTCCTTGTGCATGCAATTTTTATCTGTGTGTGTCCTTAAGGATATTTTAAATATTTTTTTCAGTTGTATATTGAATCTTTTTTCCCTTCTGTTTTCTGATGTGCTGTTGGTGCTGGTCTGCCAGTATTCTAAACTCTAATGTTTTAAGCCTCATTAAATCTAAATCTTAATTGGGTAATCTCGGAAGATAGGTATATGCCATTGATTACTACTTTTGGCTTTTCCCCTTCAGTATTACAGTATTTGAACTTTCTCGACTTCTCAAATAGAATTTCAGAATATTGATAAAAACACTGGAAGCTAGTTTTCTTGTTTTTCTGTGTTTAATCAGTAACTTCCTATACTTAAGCTGAAGGTAATCATCTTTAAAAAGTATGCATTCAGAGTTTAGTCAGAGATGCTTTTTTGTTTCTTTGCCTTTGTTTTTAAATTAGGAAAAGGTGGCTAATTTTTATGAAGTAACTTTATAGGTATCCTTTGAGATAATACATTTTTTCTTTTTCTTGTTAGTGAGATGAGTTGTATTAATAGATTTCGTAATATTCAACCATTTTTGCATTCTTTGAATGACTCCTATTTTTAAAAATTGATTTTTTATTACAGTCAACATTCAATATTATATTAGTTGTGGGTATTTATATAACTTATGAAATAACCCCCAGATAAGGCTACTTTGCAACCCAGCACAGTACATATAGTCATTACAATTTGTTGACTGCATTCCCTGTGCTGTACTTTACATCCCTGTGACTGTTTTTGTAACTGCTAATTTTTAATTCTTAACCATTTCACCTTTTTTTATCCATCTGGCAACCATCAGTTTGTTCTCTGTATATGAATCTATTTGGTTTTTTTTCTCATTTATTTGTTTTGATCTTAGAGTCCACATATAAGTCAAATCATATGCTATTGTCTTTCTGGCCTGTTTCACTTGGCACAATGCCCTTTAGGTCCATTGATGTCACACATGGTAAGATTTCATTCTCCTGTTTGGTCGTGACATTTTCTTTAATTACTGAATTTATATCTTAATATATTTATATGGCCTTCAGTTATTTTTTTATGTTATTTTTATTAAGTTTTGATAGCAGGAGTTACAATGTTTATTATTTGGATTTTGACATTTTATGTAATTTCTTAATTCTTTAGAACAGTTAAGAGTCATCATAGAATGAGGCATTTTGACCTGGTAGTGGTTGGCTTTGTAGTCATATGCTCCTGAATTTCAATGTCAGGTTTATTTCTCTATTGCTTTGTGATCTTAGCTTCACTGCTTTCCCATTTTAAAAGCATGACTATTCTTATCAATCTCATCGAATTGTTGAGAATGTTAATTATCTGAGTGCTTTTCATATGCCAGGCACTGTTAAAATCTTTATAATAAATAAATCTTATTTATTATAAGTTAAATAAGTTACTTATTTAACTTATAATAACAGTATGATTGTTCTTTTGTAAGTGAGGAAACTGAGGCAGACACAGGTTAAATAACTTAAACAAGATTACGTAGTCAGCGCATAGATTTGAACATGTAGAGCCTACTAAAATTATGCAATCAATGTAATATAATAAGCATTAAATAAGTTGTGATAATTGCTGTTATTACTGTCTCTATTTTATCATATTTCATGGACTTCAAGAAGCTACTGATTCTAACTGCCTTGGGCTGCCATACCAAAGTTCTACAGACTGAATGCTTAAACAACAAAACATTTATTTTCTCTCAGTTCAGGAGAATGGAAGTACAAGATCTAGGTGTCGGCAGGTTTGGTTTCTTCTCAGGCCTCTCTTTTTGGCTGCCTTCCCAAGGTGCTCCCACATGTTCTTTTCTCTGTATTCTTACCTGGCATTTCTTTGTGTGTCCAAATTTCTTTTCACAAGCACATCAGTCAGATTGGTTTGGGGCCTAACTTAACAACCTCATTTTAATTTAATCACCTCTTTTAAGGCTGTTTCTCAGTATGGTCATGTTCTGAGGTATGATGGGTTAGAACTTCAACATAGAACTTTGGTCTGGGAGAGGGAAGGCACTGTTTAGCCCATACAGGTAGGATGATTGGCCTTTTTCCCCCTTTTGTTGGGTTTTTCTTTCATTGTGCTTCAACAGCGCATCATGGCACAGAGTCATATGGGGTATAAGTTACTGAACCTTTTAAAATTTTATGTATCTTCTTAATTTTTTTCTCCTTTTTAGTCCATGGAAATATTTCAGTCAAAATTAGATGAAGCTGAAAAAACTGCATCCACAAAAGAAGACTGTAGACGAGAACGTTGGAGGAAGCCAGCACGTTCAGAAAAAGCACAAAGTGGTCAAGAAAGTAGAAAATCAGACTTGATACAATCTAATAAAAGTTCAAGGGATAGATACAGTTCAACAGGTATTACTAGTAATGAAGATAAGTTTCGTGGTGATGAAAAAGATAATAGATCTGGGTCTTCAGAAACATACAGAAGAGACTTTAATTCAAGGCAAAATAAGGAGTTTTCTTCTCTTGGAAATTTGAGAACTAAATTTTTAAGACCTTCTGATGACGAAGAACTTTCATTTCACTGCAAGAGCAGAAATTTTGAACCATCTGGTTCATCTTCAGCACTGGCTTCTAAGGGTTCTGTGCATTTTGGTTTTCAAAAACCCACAGAGAACAGCAAAGAAAGCTTATCATCACAGGTTCATTCTGATGAGAGAGGAAAGAGGAAACATTCAAATCAAAAGCCATTAGAAACCTGTCATGTTGACTATGGACACATTTCGGAAGATGCAAGAGAAAAATCACAGAATGAAAGCTTGAGGGATGACTCTCTGAAAAAAGAATGTCTACAGAACACCGAGTCTTCATTTGCTGGGTATTTTGTCATTTGTTTTTTAAACTGATAATATTAAGATCTGTACGATTCAGAGAAGTGAACCGTATTTTTAGAACATCTGTTGTTAATTAGATGTGAGTTGTGATGTCCTCTCTCTTAAATTTGATGGAAGAGATAAGATAATGCACATTTAACAATTCAGTCATTTCATTTTATGGATTGCATTTCATTTCACAGTTTTACTTAACATAAAAAGCTGGAAGAATTCAATAGCTGTATTTGCTTAAAATATGTTGCTTTTTTGCAACTTAAACTGAATAAGTTAATAATCGTTTTAAGTGGAGGGCTACAGGAAATATTTTGGTATGTTACTTTTTCCATGTTACTTTCAAAAGGAATGGTTCCATTGTTAAGAAGAATCATAATTGTAAATATCCCATGTCTACTGGAGGTCTGGAAGACTGTAGGAAAGTATGTTGCCAAAGCCCAAATGAGAAGTGAAAAGGAATGTGACAGGTCCTGCACAGGGCAGCATGAATTGTGTAGTGGTGGTTTTACACGGGAAGAAAATAATTTGCTTTTGATAGTTGACAGGTTTTAAAGCTAGTGTTAGAGTTTTCAAAGCAAAATATAGGTAGGATAGTGGTCATATCTGTAATAATTAGAGAAATAGGTAGTACTTACCGGTTTTATCATTCTTGTACTTATTATATACTTATACATAGGGCTGGGTCAATAGAATAGGAAACCCAGGTAGAGTGGACTCAGACCTAGGAAAACTTGAGTTAGCCATACAGGTAGGTCTGTAGGAGATAACTGTAAGTAGAAAATTACTATCCAAAGGATAATGACTAAATTATACTTGAATGATCAAAATATGTTTAAAAATATCACCAAATGAATGTGACAGTAAAGGAAGAGGTTTTAGGAAATAATAATAGAATTCAGTGGTGGCAGGCGTAGGTTTAAGCATTGTGGTCCTGGGTCGTGAGTCTGATAAATTGCTTTTGGTAATGACTCGATCTGAAGCTGTGCATTATAAAGCACAGTGTGCTGCTTTCAGTGGGAGGAAGCTGGAAAAATTTGGACAGTTAAATGGGCTCTGGTTCAAGCCAGGGCTTTGCTCCTGGGAAACCAAAGGAGAAACTTAGTTGTACTGACTTTATAAAGATGGCAGGGATTAGAGAATGTTTAAGGCTGTGTACATGTATAATTGTCCGGGCTTTACTGCAGGTACTCAAGAGGGTAGTCTCTTTCCAGTCCCCAGCTGTTAGTGGGATGAAGCTCTTATTTCCTGATTTCATTAGGATTGACTTAACACTTGGATGATATGTAGGTCTTGAATTCTGTGACTGCAGCTAAGCATATTATGTGCAACAGCCATGCACTCTCTTAAGTATTGTGTCTTTCTCTAATTGCTTCACATTTGCATGTTATATTTAAATGGAAGCTTCTGATACATATATTCTAATACAGGCACTTACTAAAAGCCGTGTTTTTTGGTATGAAGACAGTATTCTTCGTTAGCTGCAGTAATTTTGATGTTGCAGATGGTTTGAGGCTTTCCACAAATTCCTTGATTAACTGGAGAGGGAAAGAACAATCTAGGAGGCATCCACAAGTGTACGTCCTGAGGTCAAAGTAAGAGGCCAACACAGGACCCTGAAGAATGCCTATTTTTAGGGACTGGAAGGATTTCATTGAAGGATTATTAGAAGCTCTTAGTTTATCTCAACGTTACCCTGGTCTGGTGGTATATGTTGGATTCTTTATAAAATGTCAGAGTTGTAGGGAGGTTTAGAACTAATGAATTTTAAAACTAGAAAAAAATCATAGAATTGATTTTAAAGTTAGAAGAAATCGTAATCTGACCCTTACATTTTTCAGATGCAGAAATTAAGGTAATTGAGGTTGTGAACTGCATACTGTTATGTAACTAGGGCTGCCAGATTTAGCAAATAAGAAAAAGTTCCTTGCAATATTTGTACATACCTGTACTAAAATGTTTGTTGTTATCTGAAATTCAAATTTAATTGGGTGTAGTGAATTTTATCTGCAACTATATGTGACCGTCATTTTCCTGGGTCTGTGATCTTTTTACAAGAAAGAACACTTTTTACAAGTAATATAATTATATATAAAAATCTTTATATATATGATGTAGTTTCACAATACATGTACTATTTCGACCCTTGTTTTTTTTCCAGCCAGTATATCTTAAAGATCTTTTTACATCAGCCTATATGTATGTACTTTTTTCATTTTAAAGGCTCTTTCATATTCTATTATAAAACTTCAATAGCTCCTGGAGAAAAGAGGTTTGTAGTTTGTTGCTCTTACAAATAATGTTGCCCTGAATATTGTATGTGCCTCTTTGCAAACTATTTAAGTAGAGCTGTAAAATGAATTCCAAGGAGTGAAATTATGTTTTGTCGTATTAACCAATTTACACTCTTACCATCATAGATGAGAATGACTTTTTTCCTTTGCTGATAGTGTTATTGACCTTGTTAACCTTTGCCATAGATGTTGTTGAGAAACAGGAACTTTCCTTGATTTACATTTAAGTATGAATGAAGTTGGGCATATTTTTATAAATGATGATCATTTGTATTCTTGTTAACTAGTGGTATGTTTTGCCTATTTTTTTACTCTTTTTGTGAGAATTCTTTATAGTTGTCATGCAATGTATATTTTTTATCATTTATAGTTTTCCATTTCTTTCTTTTTCTTTTTTTATTCATTCTTTCATTCATTCTTAATGTGATCATATTTATCATTCTTTTTTCTTTGTCCTTTTTGGGCCCGATTTAAAATGGCCAAAACACACCCTGTAGTATTGGCCCAAGCGATTAAGAACTTTAAGCTTATTATCCTAGAAATAAAATGTGTTTGTATATAATTTGTTTTGTGGGAAAATATATTAGCTATGTATTTTGAGGAATTTGAAACCTAGAGTAGTAAATAATATGAACAAAACTAATGTGATGTCCTTAATTTAGATTTTATAAAGTTAATATGAGGAACTAACTCATATTATGTAATATTTTAATCTTTGGATGTCATTCTTGGCAGTTTACTATTTTGGCCTGGATACACAAAAGAAGGATGCCAGGTTCTAAAGGCTTTAAAGAGTCATGACAACCTTAGACCAGAGAGAATATTTGAGGATAAGTGGTGAGAAAAGAATAATTAAAGGCGAGAGATCTGGGAACACTGTCAGTGTGCAAAAAAATTGCAATATCATAGACTCAAGGTTTTAGAAAGGTCATTGGGATAGAGCTCTTTTAGGTATTTGAACTTCTTTTGGTTACTTACTTGTTCATCACAAGTTTCCAGCCAGAGCAGTGTTTGTGTGTGTGTTGTAAAGAGAATACATTTTAATGTGAAAGTAGGATTTTCTTTTTAGAAATTAATTATGAAGAAGGCTTCTGAAATAGCAGGTATCCTGGAAAATGAGAAAAGCTTGTCCTTTTCTCTCTTTTGTAGGATAATTGCAGATGTCACGGAGATGTTTCTTTTAGAGCGTGTACTCATCCTTGTAAAAGCTTATGGAAAGTGAGGGTCCATTCTGCACTGTTTGCTGCAGAGCAGTTGCCCTGGTATTAGCAAGATGAAGTAATGTATTCCTTGGTTGTTGTGTGCCCATCAATTCTTATATAATGTCTTTATGTGATACCTATTACTGTCCTATTAAGTGTATTATCTATTGATATTTAACATATTAAGCATTAGACATTTTTAGAATTCTAGTATATCCTTTCATTTATCCTCATTTATTATTCATCTACTAATAAACAATGTAATTCCTGTTAGAAAATATTCCCACTCCTCACAATGTTGTAGAGTGTGAATTTCATGACAGTGAATATGGCCTCTTTTAAAGGTCTGTTGGGCTTCCAGTTATCTTCTTGAAACTTGTGAGGTTTGGTTGGATTGTAGCATATCTTCATTTTCTTCTTTTGATTGACTGTTTAAGCTTGTATCAAAAAGGGAAGGGGAAGAGTAACATTTCTCAAAAAAAGGTCAGGGTCAAGTAAAATACAAAGATGTACCTTTGGATAAACAGTAATAGAGGTCATTGGCAATTTGCTCAACAGTATTATCATTGGCCCTGGCCTCTGTGGCCCAGTCACTTGGAGTATTATCCTATGCACTGGAAGGTCACAGGTTTGATTCCCAGTCAGGGCACATGCCTGGGTTGCGAGTTCAGTCCCCAGTTAGGGCATGTAGGAGAGGCAACTGATTGATGTTTCTATCTTGTATGGATGTTTCTCCTTTCTCTCCCTCCCTTCCCCACTCTAAAAATCAATAAGCATGTCCTTGAGCGAGGATAAAAAAAAAGCATCATTGTAAAAGAGGGTTTATAAGCCAGATTTCATAGACTAAGTTATGATTATGGGTTATGAAATGATAGCGATAGAAAGTGTATGTGGCATCCATGGATTAAATGAAGTGCCTCGTCACTCTCTACCTTGTTTTCTTTTAGGGTGAAAATACTTGAGTGTGTTTCTATTTTAATGGGAAAGAGTGTCGTTTTTAGAAGAGGCTAATAAATGGAGAGATGATAGATGAACTAACTGACGAGACCCCAAGATTAGTGTGGACGAACATAGGATCCAGTGTCCTCACACAAAGTAGAAGCGTTAGCTTTGGGTGGCAGTGTTAGAGAAATGGAAATTGTGGCTGCAGGTTCTGGGTCACAGGAGAAAATTATGGCAGTTCTTTTCTGAGAACTTAGTGCTTTTCAACATACCACCCCCAGAATATTAGTGTTCCCTTTTTGATCTATATCTATATATGGACTACAATGAATGTGGTAGCTTCAGAAAAAAAAAGTAATGTAAGAAGGTTCACATTACAGCTCACACAACTGAAATGTCCTCGCCTTGTTTTGACCTACTGAGATTAGCTTATTTTACTTTTACCAAAAAATATTGGTAAACCTTTGGAACACAGTTATTTTAAAATTGTTAGTCCACTTGCACATCATGTTTGCTTTAAGTATTCCTTGGAAACTGGAATTGAGTATTACTTTC